CAAATTGTATTCGTTGTGATTTTAAAACAAAAGTCTAACGTATGCAACGCTACAGGATAAGCCAATCAAGGTTAAGTGTCATTTGAAACTAATATCGCCTGCCTGCTTAAATGTTGAGTGATCCGTCAGGGGGGCGGGGTCAAACACTTCTTTGAATTGTTATAAACTGTTACTTAGAGAACAACGGAATAATTGTTAGGCTCATCTTACTTGACTAGAATGAGCTTCTAGAACACTTGAAAATACCTTTCACAGTGAGATAGACATAAAAGTCAGACAGGGAAAAACCACAACTGCACAAAATACGTGGAATATTATATTTACAAAACCCTCAGAAATTAAAGCCATCAATAAAACAGACCGATTAGTTCTATAACACTGGAATTCCTCAGAAAATTAAATGATAAACAGACGAATTGAAATTGTCCAATAAGGTTATCATTTCAGTAGATACAGTTTGAAGTAGAGTCCACAGAATTTCGTCCTTTAATCGTAGGTACAGGGATCGAAAATGTTCGGCATGTGAGAAAAAGAGATGCGGCGTAGAATGTGCGTTTGATGGCTGACCGAAGTCTTTGAGCTGTCAACTGCATAATCTGGTCACCCTTGAATGGTAGGTTAATAAAGATAGCTTTCTTTGGTACAGAAGCTGTCTTTTCTAGATGTGGTCTATCCTTACTGTGACAAGTGATGAAGTTCTCTGGATAACCATTGGCTAATAAAACTGAATGTATATTTCGAAACTCATCCATCAATGTGTCACTCATGCATATTTTTCGAGCCCTTGAGAAGAAACATTTCACTAGGGAACGTTTATACTGGATAGGAACAAAACTGGTGAAATGAAGATATTGTCCACTCCATGTCTGTTTACGAAAAGTAGATCGCTGAATCGTTCCATCATCTCTCCTGGTTGTAAAGAAACTACGAAATGATATTATCTCGCGAAATTTGTCTTCTAAACGCCTTATTCAAATTTATCAAAGGGACTAATTGTTTCAACAATAATAATAATAAAGTTAGTGTTCGTTTAACACCTATCATCCCTTCAGTCTTTTCACAATTTAACATGACAGTATGATGCTTATTGAACATTTCTCCACTTTCATGTTGAATTGTGTTGAATATTTTGCAAATTTTAAACAAGTATCTTCTTATATGAATCTATGATAGAATTCCTGCCTAAAATGTTTTTCGAAGGTTTTATTCAATTAACCTCACATCAGAGAATCTATTATTTCCCAATAGGAATGTGAAATATGCAACAGAACGTTCACAAAGATGGAATTTAATGAATTCATAAAATTTTGATAGAACTTGTCAACCAGGTAGATCCCCAACATACTTTGTTAAATACAACAAGTGAAATATATTCAGGAGATATACAGCGAAAAAATTTCAATGAATAAAGTATACCAACGATGACTGGTCAGTATGCTCGGTTTTGAGTTTTGCACCTCTAATTAACGCAGTTTAGTAAAGTGTTTGTTTCACAGAGTTAGAGTAACCTGCTCTACTGACTATTTCAATGAGAAACTCAAGGTTATTAGAGAATTATAGTAGAATGAATCAGAAAAGCTGGTTGATAAAAACATTAATTTAACGCCAAGACAAGCTAGTATGTCGACAGCTCCAAAGAAGTCCTTCTTCTTAAAACTGCATTTCCTTTCACATAACATCAGTGAAATAATAACACAATGCTTAACGAAAGAAGTAAAAATATCATTCAGTGCAGTAGAACCATATTGTCTCTTCAAAACTTCTCCAAAGTTACGTTTGGGAAATGAGGATAAACTTACTTTCTCTATGTGTATCTACCAGTTTGACTGATCCTTTGGAGTGAGTTACTTTGGAAGTACAGTTAGGTGTGTTCATTACCAGACTTTTGAACATCATTCTGCATGGTTAAAGAAGGGACAAACAAGGTCTATTCGTAGCTCTGTTTTAGCCACCTTGTTAAGATTAAAGTTTTATATGGTATTCTGATTAATCTTAACTTTTGTCTATGAGTTCGTCTTCAAAACATAGCTGAAGCCATCGGATTCCACCTGAAGAAGCCAAGTTTATATATACAGAAGAAATTTTTTAAACGCTTTCCCTACACTGCCCATGTTTACCTGATTGTAAAAATCTGACGATGTTCCCTTCTCTTTAAGCCTTTCACAAGTTATCAATGTGTTGATCCGTCTTTAATTTTCATGCTAAATATTATTCTTAATTTTACTGATATTCAGTTTAGCATTACATTTTAATGCATATCACCTACACATGGTTTTTAGCAGTAATTCTATTGATCTTAACAACTTGATATTATTTAAAATACTTCAATGTTGTCAATAAAAATAATCCTTGAAATATTATGTACGTATAACCGTTGGATCTATAAGACGACTCTAGAAGATCTGAACTTTGCTAGCGATTTATGGCTAATGTCAAACAAACTCAAAAATCTACGGGTGAAAACCAACAAGTTGGAGGCAGAAACAGAAAGGACAGGAATGCAAGTGAACATAGACAAGACGCAGGTGATGAAGACAGATAACCAGCCAAAAAAGCACTAATCTTTATCAACGGAAGACATTTGAAGGACAGGCAGGCAGTGAACTAACAAACAACCTATCGTCTAACCTGTAAATATGAAGAAGGAAATAGACATGGGTCAGACACACACTGAAAAGACCTCTGGATGACATCATACTCCAGGCCGTTGAGAGGAACCCGAATGAGAAACAGCAGGTTGGGCGTTCAAGGATGACATGGAGGAGATCGTGAAAGGAAGATGTAAATGAATTTCTTACCTTGGTCACCACTGGTGGGCAACTCGAAGGCGCGAATGATTCAATCGTGTACAAGTTGGAAGAAGATGAAAGAATACGAATAAAAGTACAATACATTCCTTGTAACATTTGTTATAGACATTGTACCGATATCGATTATAATGCGAACAATAAACTTATTACAACTTATGTTTTGAGTTAAAGTCGATAATCGTTCTAGTAATTGTCGATTCGGAGCGTCTTCGAAATAATAGGAATTAGGGTTAAGTTCCTTGACAGAAGATATGAAAGCTTATGAGCATTGGTGAAGCTAGATACAAAAGACTACAGAGAACAGAATTAAACGAAGATGTTCAGCTGAAGCCCTATGTTCCAATCAGAACCCACGAGAATAATAATAATAATGAATAACTATACAGCCAAATGAGGATGTAATCGAAAAAAAGATATTCTTTGTTCAATCTCTTTTTGTCTTTCACTGAAATTTGATGAATTCATTAGTTCAACTCGCTGTACTAAAAGTTGTTGCTTATTTCAGATCTGACGCTAATTAATATTCTGTTATTCAAGTATTGGTTTGTAGGGATTTGACTGATTGGTTACAGGATTTCATCATGAACTGACATCGGTTAGAGAACCATTGGAGAACCAACACGGAGTACTGGATAGCTGTTTCGTCCTAGTTTGGGACTCTTCATCAGTACGCACCCACAACAGCGGTTCGGACTCAGGACCTTCCGGTTAGGAGGCGAGCTACTTCGCAGACCATTAAGCCACTGGGACCCGATCCAATGGCCAGTCCATGAATTCCAACTTCTACCAATTCACAACACAGCGCGACCACTAGCGAATGTCATCACTGGCGAGTATTTGCCCTAACACCCGACCAGGTTTTCCAATGGTTCTCTAACCGATGTCAGCTCATGATGAAGTCCTGTAACTAATATTCTGTTAGAAGCCCAATTCAAAACACCTTGTACTACAGATAAAAGATAAAACAGGCTATTACTAACTGAAAAAGAAAAATATAAGGACAAAACCAACCGGCCACACAAATAAATTAATCAATACAATTAAACGCATGTTTGTTTTTTCTTATTTCAAAGAGAAAAACAGATTTTGTGTAAATTTTTCAATGAAATTTTTTAAATAATTGATTGATTTATTCTTTAAAATGACTGGTACATAGAATAAGCCCTGAAAAAAAAAAATAAATTGGAAAGTGATAACCAATTATGATAATGGGAAAAACGCACTACAACTGTTGCATTTTATATACTCATTTAAATTATGAGAGAGAACGTACATAGGAATTAAAGAATAGAAGAACATGGAGGAGAGAAGGTGGTAGCTGTCAAAGAATGCAGGAAAACTGATTGAAGGGTAAAAAGAAAGGAAAGCAGAACATGGAAAGGCAGAAGAAGACGAAGAAAAGGATGTCATGACAGTCAATGGGAAGAACAACAATTTCCCTAGTAAATAAACAAAGAAATAGAATAATGTATTACATCAGTGAATGGTTGAGTACGTTTCTCTTTTAAATAAATCTACAAATAAGTGGGTTAACGCATCAGTGTACATGGATACTCATAGACAGACATGGAAAATGCCTATGCGTATATATTATGTATATACAAACACAAAAGCTGACATAATGAATACAATTTTTATATCAAATAAAACAGAATGGCTTTTGCTTATGGAGCAAAGTTTGAACAAAACGGATAGTAACAATGATAATATTACTATTAATAATAAAAACAGTAATAATAATAAAAACACTAGAAATGAGTAAGCAAATAAAGAAGGTTCAAATGAACTTTATTTCTCCATGGTATGACTACAAACATAAATACACGGACAGAAAGTTCTTCGCCTTTCATTCTCTTCGTGTAGACAATGAAAGTTATTAAGAAGAGATACCATATTGGAGTCGATAAAAAGTAAAGTTGTAGATTATAATTCATACAATAATTTAAAGTCAATAATAATAATAATATATTAGATTGTAAATGTGTACTTCTTTGAGTAAATTGGCGCTTTTAACAGAATACAAAAGTTACATGAACACAGTAGAATAGCAGACGTGGAGAAATGTTATGATTATTTACAAATATTCTTTATGCATAGATGGTATGATATCATTGACAGACTCTACTACTAAGACATCGTATTTAGTAGTATGATCAATACCAAAAAGTGACAATAAAGGTGTTGTTTCCTGGGTTTTGAGCAGAATGATATATATATATGTCATCCACAGGAATACACGTAAGAAAGCCATGACAATAGAAACACTGAAATACAATACAGTGAAATAAATGGGGTGGAGGGGGGTTGGTTGGGAAACACAAACTGATCGATTAATTATCATCAGTGGTATTTTGAAGCCTGACGTGGAATCACAGTAACAGCATACACAGTCAACATATAGATTTTCCCTAGGAAATTAATGTCTGTTCCATTGAAATACCTTACGGAACACAATACAAATAATAAGATTCAGCAAGATGACTGCATAAGATGGAATGAGAGAGAGAGAGGTGATGCGGAGAGAAAACGTTAAGATGAAATAAATGCAACAGATACACTTGATTTATGAAAGCATAACGAGAAATAAACTAAAATAAATTTGTAGAATTATCATCCTTTATACTTGGCTGCATAGTCTAGTCTCTTGGGTTTCATCAGTCGATAAATGAGCTGACAGTAATAACGGTAATTCTTCCATAGAACTAGGCTGTCCACTAACAACAAACGTGTCGCCAATCATCAAACCATTATTATTATTATTAGTACCATTGCCATTATTGCCACCCAGTCGATTGGGAACATGACTGTTATTATTATTATCGCTACTACTATTACTATTTTTTCCATTATGAAGTGTGCCTTCTATCATCTCTGAAATATTTGTCTGGTTAACATTTGTATTTGGATATAAAGAGTATAAATTTGTATTGTTACTGTTACTACCATTACCGTGCCTCATGTAGGCTGAACTATTCATGAATGAATTTGACGATGGCTTGTTTAACTCAGAGTGTTCTGCTGGACTTTTATTAGCTCCTTGTAAATGACTTTTAATCACTAAACTAGAGCGAAATGTTGTCGGGAATGCATTATCATATGGGCCACTACCAAATGTAACTGGAGCGGGCTTTTCCTTCTCCGTGGTTTTCTCCTCAGTAGGTTTATTATCCGATAGATTCGTATGTGCTAAAGTTGGTCCATTTGGGGTGTATGAAGCAGTTCCATTAGTAGAGTTTATATCATCTCTGAAAGTTACCCGTGGGCCATTTGAAGACGATGAAATATTAATTGGTGGTAAAGAGTCATTATGCTGTGAAATTAGATTCATTAAGCCACTTTCAACACCAGTTGAAGATGTTGCATTATTTTGATGCGACCTAATGTAACTTGGTTCATTTGAAACACCAGCTCTTGGAAAATTCCCGTATTGTTCAGTTGTGACATTTGGAAAACGGTTCAATAATGAGAAGGAATTCGAATGTGACACCTTTGGAGATGTAAGGCCATATCCTGGATACGATGTCCCCCCTTGAGTAGACGCTTTATCTGGATAAGAAACATAAATTATAAGAACAATCATCTCAGTTATTCTTTTTAATAGTTTTTAAAATAATTGATCAAGTGGAACTAACGATAATGCCTTAATTCCTTCCGAGTATCATTCAATGACTGTGAGAGATCTATTGAATATCTACTTCCATTTTAATCGGGTAAGGATGAGAGTAATCTCATGGTGTTTTCACGCACAGCATAGCAAACAGTATAACAGATATCCCAGCTGTGTAAAGAATCGATAAAACACCTTTATAGTAGCTACACGTAATATTTAAAATGATAACAGTATTTCCATTAAACATATTGCGAAATCACATGAATCCATGCACCACACTAACAACCTTAAGAAATTCAAAAGCGTGACTGACCGCCTCCGTTCAATTTTATCCAGGAGACGGAAATGAAAGAGGAATAAATACAAAAACATTTATAATATGGAAGTAAATTACTTTGTCCAGTTAGACCATGGATTGATATAGTATAAAGAACCATTGAAAACCAGCAGAGAGTACCGAACAGCTGTTTTATCCTGGTTTGGGACCCATCAGCAGTACTCACCCACTGGGTTTCGAACCCAGTATCTTCTGGCTACAAAATAAACTAGTAGACCATTCAAACACTGAGACCTGGGTTGATGGCCCGTGAATTCTAATTTCTCCCAATTCGTGATTTTTAGCGCGCTGATTATTTTATTACTCAATCGTATTTTTATGGGTTTTTTATTCCTTCACGTTCCCAGTGGAACATACGGCTTCAAGCTACAGCTCTATAGTTTCTGTAGCAGTATTTATTTTTACAGGATGGGGTTGCTAGCCTTATGCCCAACTTTTCCTCTTTACCAAGTTTATTTCTGGCTTAGCGAAATAAAGGAGTGCGTCGGCCGGGGATCGAACCCCGGACCATGTGCATGGTTGGCGAGCATCCTGACCGCTGTTTTTTAAACAGCTGGAATATCCGTTGCACCAGTTGTTGACCTATTAACGACGCACATTAATGAAAATACCTTGGGATTAATTCCGCCCTTACTCTTTTGAAAAATTTATCCCAATGAGTTAATAGTGCATTTTCAATTTTCCTCCTAGCACACTAAATTGTAGAAAATTTCATATACTACTAACGTTTTGTGAGTAGTATAAAATGCATAGCAACAATTTTAAGAAGCTATTTTCCTCAGAACATCGCATTTTGCTCTTCAGATGCTTATCAAATTTACACATATATTTTTTGGAAAAAAGTAAAAGGAGAAAGGAGCAATTCGCCTCTACTCACTTTCAAGTCTCAAATACTAGTAAGCTTACAATATCTACATATAAAACTATGTACTACTGATTGACTGAGATGACTATTTGAATACCACTCACATCAACCGGTAGTGCTTGCTATCCAGATCGAAGTGATTTAAACACCAAACACCTGTTTCACTCATTTGGAGCCTGGTTTGACCCAGCCAAGAGGGACAACTCAGCTGAAACCAACGAATTTCTGATGAGTTCAGTCCCAGACGAAACAAACGTCTGTCCGGTGTTAAGATATTCGATTTGGCTAACAAGTGTTGCTGGTTGATGTGAATGGTATACAAATACTCATATCAGTCAGTCAATGGCATATAGTTTTGTGTGAATATGCTTTCTTTCTTGATGACCATTCACAGTATGAAGCAGATCACGTATTGTGATCTGAATAATTCCGGTTTCCAAAGGAAACTGTGGATAAATTTCACACTTCGAACTGTGTAAATTGAAAATTAATTTGACAACTGTGAATTTGATTAGTGTATACACATAACTAAATTGTTTTATCTAAAGATTATATTACAAATAAGTATCATACGCATCCTGATTTTCTTTTCGGAACATTCTATGGCCAAGTTAAACTTTAAGCACCACTAACTACCAATAGATTGTGGCTGCACCATTGACTTTGAGTGCTCCAGTGAGTTTCACCCACGTGAACTGAAGCTTCTATTCCGCTTGATTCGAGTCAAATGCCTGCTGTAACGCAGTCGCGCTTACAATTTGATGAGGATAAGATTTTCCAGTATTACTAGGATGTGGCGTTGATTAGGAAAGAAAGGGTTTGTTCATGTGGAGGAGTCATGAGTATTACAAACTTTAGCAGGTCTGTTGATGGATATGTGCATCGTTGTGCAATTTGTTTGAGACGAATTAGTGTCAGGGAAGGTAAGCTGATGATTATAATATTTCGTAGGAACATTTTTTGCCAGATCTCATCTTTCCCTAACCCACATTTTGTATATTTGTAATTACTTGGTTTTAAAACAGCCTGTGAGAGGTGCAGCTGCTGAAACCGAAAATAGTCCTTTATCAATAGTTCTGGTGGTTCCAGCACTGCAGGGATATAGCGTCCTGGAAAATGGAGAGGCTTACTTTGTTATTGGAAGGAGAACCTGTCATTGTACATGTAGATGAAACTGTCTTATTAAAGAAAAAATACAAGCTTGGTCGGGAACGAGCGAATAGTGTTTGGGTGATTGGTTTATATGATATCTCTCTACGAAAAGGATTCGTCGACAGAATAGCAGATAGAAAGTCAAGTATCTTAATACCTATTATCACTCGACCTTTGAAACAAGGATCTTTTATACACACAGATGAGTGGAAAGGTTATAACTCCTTGTCATTCCTTGGATATATTCACCACAAAGTCAACCATTCTAATGATTTTGTGGATCCCATTACAGGGACACACAACAATTCTATCGAAAACTTTTGATGAAGATTAAAAAACAGGATTAGAGCCATTAACAGATCTCAAAAGGATGTCATTTATGGTCATTTAGATGAATACATGTATAGGATGTGATGTAACTTTTCACTTGGTACTCCTATGCTCAACTGGGAGATGTTTTTATCACATATAAGTGAAAGGTATCCTATGAAACATTTTTATGCAGTTTTTATGCATTTTTTCATAAATATATGTGTTCCATACCCAAAAATGCCTCCTTCATGTGATTGGTGCGTTCAAAGTCACTCGCTGATTGGTAAATAGTGATGCTTAAAGTTTACCTTTGCCCCTTCTCTAATTGCGAGACAAAGTTGGTATGAGGGAATAACTTGGCAACATTCTCACTACGACCTCGTGTCTGGGTTTGAGTCTTTCTTAAACATTCAGTGATTGTGACACAAACTTTGAAAATGAGGAGTTAGTTCGCCAACAGTCTCAGAGGGATATTTTGGAAGGAAAAATTCGAACATATGACATGTATACTCTCTAAACATATTACTCACTTGCAGGTTGTATTGTATTTGTTGAATTCTCACCATCGTCATCCACTCCTCCATGACCTGATGAACTTGATGATATTTGAGTATTGGTTGTTGCATTATTACTACTGTTAGTGTTGACACGTCCTGAGTATAAATTCAGCGTCGGATATTGAACTTGACCAGGTAATGATGATGATGACATAGGGATTGCTGCTAATGTAGGTAAAGTTGTTCCATCAGTATTATTATTATTAGGAGTATTGATGTTGCCTGCGACAAGAATACCTTGACTTAAATTCGGCACATTATTTGAATTCAGAGCACTTTGAAGACAAACATAATTGTTTCCTCCTGTAAAAGTAATCATTTAATGAAATGGAAGAATAAATAGATTTTTTATCAATGGAAAAAGGTCTGTGAAACTAACATTGTAAAATGTACCATAAAAACAGGTTATATAAGAGTTATTAGCAGAAATCGCGTTGCTTGTTGAGTTAAGCACCGAAAAGATGACTTGACTTAACCTCTACATGTTTCTTTCTTTACAGAGAAAATACTCATCGCAGAACAAACTCATTAGAATTACAGCTTTGGGATTAATACAACTGTTTGACATCCTGATGATAGGTACTACAGGACTGACTCCTAGAAGTACGATGGGGGTGTTGCTCATAAAAGTGACAGGGCGAATGCGGATGTCTGGTGCTTACAGCCGAACTGGTGAACATATAGGTCTACCTAGGGGAACCGAGAAATCCTGAAACCAAACCTACATGGGCTGTAGAAATCGAACGGATCGAGTGGTGTATGAACCTCTTCTGGTCTCCACCAGCCATGGTAACATAGCTCCTGACACTACTCCGCTGTCTTGTGGATCAGACCTCCAGTCAAAGGCTCAGGAATGACCTCTTAAGACAACCAACTGCTTCCATCTGTATATCCGAGATGCGTCCTGGCTTTCGCACAAGCTATACGATTTTGTGTGGCCCATTTCTTGGTGCCCATAATATACCATGCTTGTGTTCTAATAATAATACAATTGTTTGCAATATATGTTTAATCATTCAGTGCATAACTATTTCAGGTTACATGTGGTCAAAAAGTACCTTGATGCAATAATGACCTTACACAAACAGATAAACATAAAGTGTGCGTGGAATAGCATTTATAGTTTTCAATGTAATTCCCACTAAATCAATTTGAAAACCAGGGAGTACTGCACAGTTGTTTCATCCTAGTTTGGGAATCATCAGCGGTACGCCTTACAAACCAACTATAGACAATTAATCTGATCCTTGTTAGTGACTTGCTACAGGACAGAGTCTCCTGGAGTTCTAGTGAGAAGTCGTGACCAGTGATGTTCATCCAGTCAAGTGTGAGGATGGATGTCCCTCCGATGATATTGGTTAGTGGTCGCGCTAAATTGGTAGAAGTTAGAATTCATGGACTGGCCACTGAAACGTGTCCAGAGTCTGAATGGTATACGAGCTTGCCTTGTAACCGGAATGTCCTGGGTTCAAACCCCGTTGGTTCGTGTGTACTGTCGATGATTCCCAAAATAAGATGAAACAGCTATCAAGTACTCCCTGGTTTTCAATGGTTCTCTTACTGATATCAATCCGTGATCAACTCGTGAAAACAAAACTAATCCTTACAAACCGACTATAGAAAATCAGTGTGTGTTAATTATACGGCAGCCTTCTATTATTACTTCTCTTATTACTGCCTAGAATGTTTGGGTTTAGCTATTAATGGAGGCCT